ATATGAGGTAGAATGGTCAATCAAGAACCATTTTGTAGAGCGTGTTCTGCTGCATCTTTTCACACTAGAGACACATTTTTAATCATGTATTTTACTAAAGAAAAACTAACCATTCAAATCGAGTCAGACTACTAGACCACCCTTTATATCATTCTTAAACTTAACCTATAAGTTGTTTGTCTCGCTGGAACTCAGATTTCACGGGGATATATGAAATGGAACATGCTATGCTGATATATCGATCACGATTGGAAATTTAAAAATACCTGAGAAAGACATGAGAACTCTATTGTGATTGTCACTTTCGAGGCTCGATTTTTGACAAAACTTTAAGATAGATGAATCGATGTAAGTTCTTATGTTCTTTTCGGATGTGTCCTTGAGAGTGAAAAAAACCTGTCGTTCATATTAATTTTTAAAAACCATAGAAAGAATGAGTTTTGATCTGTATGTGTTCGATTTTCCTACAAGATAAGTATTTAACTTAAATACTTATCTTGTCAAATCAATCCATATCTTTTATCAATCCAACTTGTAGGCTACAAGTTGGATTAGATACTCACAATCTGCATCAATAAAACGAGGTCGAATATCGTATCTCTCAGAGGTTTCTAGAATTTTTATTTGTCATCTAAAAACCGATCTATCCCCGCCCATCCGTAGAAATTAAAAAGTAAAATTTTCTAAAATTCAGTTCTGAGCATTCTGAACACATTTGTGGTGAAAAACAAAAGAGTTAGTTTGCAATTTTTTTGGATACAATGAGCAGTGATACTGCACATTTCGTCAAAATATGAAAGTGTTTATTTTTTTCATCTCCGATAATTGGCTATAAACTTCGATCCTTTGGGCATGGCTACCAGTAAACAAAATTTTTTGTCTCTTTCGGGATACTGAGAAAATTCGTTTGAGTTTAAAAGTCTAAAAATTGTTTAATTAAACTTAAACTTTTGTACAAATTAGACTATTGTATATGTTAAAAACGATTTGTTATACTAAATCTAGACGCTTTTTATTTTCCTAAGTGGCAAAAACTTTTTGTATTTAAAACATAACACGACGGAATCAACGAGTATTTTCTAAGCTAAACAAGTTTTCAACACTAACTCTTTAGTACATACAATAGCTTTTTCACTTTTACCAGCTTTCAATCGAGTTCTAGACACAATCATCTTCTACCTAAATCATATCTATCTCCTATATGCGGAAAAATGTGCAAAACTTGTTGAACTTCACAGTGGAATTTATAAAAACTTAAGGCTTTTCATACAAAATTTTTGCAATTCTTAATAAAAGTAATGGCATATTCTGAATCAATGCACCAGACTACATCGAGACATGTATAAAATAATAAATTTTAAATGAAAAATATTCCAGTCAAAAGTTTTTTGCTCTTGTCCCTCACGGCGATCTTTTTAAAAAGAAAACAATCATTCTTTTTTAATTTTGGTTTATAAGATGCTGATGACTGCAGAATGATAGTGACTCATAGAAAGAGTTTTATTCACAAAAAATTCTGTTGTTTGCATTACAAGCAGGGTTGCCAGATGTCTCTGCATAAGGAGAACAGTCCCACATTTAAAGATTTATTCACTAGAATGTTCCTCTTTACAAGGATATTTTCTTTTGGCCGACTTCAGTGAACTTTTCACTTTTATATTATACTTCCTGTTCAACAGACCTTTAGCGTTTAGTAATTTTTCTTATGTGAGATTTCACATAAGAAAAAGCACTGAACCCAAAATTGAGAATTAGAATGAATACAAATTTAACGTGTAATAATTCTCATGATGATGATGTGATTATGATCTAAGATTTTGAATAACAAAGACGTTTCTAATACGAGTATTCGTGGAAGTGAAAATATGAACATATTAGTAAAATTAATGTGTGAATTGATCATTTAGTGCTTTTTGTGTGAAAAAAGATAGTTGTATTAAATTTTTTTATGTTGTGACGTAGTGATACGAGAAGCTCAATGAACAATAGAAATATTTGATAGAAAAAAGAATGTACTGATGTTCCTTTAATTTTTCGATAATATTGTGCGACAAATAATGTGTCTTGTCCTCCTTTGTAGAAAAGAAGTTCCCCTTATGTCCCCGCTTTTGAAAAGCATTATCCGATGAATTGAAGCCTATTGAAAATGAGAACGACATGAATGAATGATAACACAAAAAAGTTCAATGATCTTATAAATGAGAACCATCAAATGTTATGTCAGTTAACTGATTCAGAATTAATTAGCGAAAACAATATTGAGGATAAAGATTTATTGAATATATCATCTTTAGTAAATTCTGAAGATAGGAATGTAACAAATATATTCGTTGAACTTGGTTTATTAGACGAAGATGAACATGAACAAAATGATAATCAAATAGCAAGTAGTCAAGATAGAAATGATGAGGATGGGGATTATAATATAGATGAATTGGTCAAGGTAGCAATCGCTACTTAAATTAAATAAAAAGTATTTATTTATGAAGTACATTTATATGTTTTGTTCTGTTTATTAATAAGAAATTTTTTGAATTTAATCAATTCACAGTTAGTACATCGACATTTGGTAATAACATGATACAAACTGAAATGAACTTAAAGAATTTTAACTTGGGTTTATAGTTATAAATAAAATTGAAATAGTTACAATCTTCAATCCGAGTTATAACCGGATCAACTTTTTTAGAAATTTTCTTATATTTTAACTTTTGAAAAATAGTTTTAAACCCATTAGTGCGCTTTTATCTTAATTTGTTTCCCTTTACTGCTCTCTTTAGTTGGCATCTCTGATTACAAGCAAAAGTCGCCGACTGTGCTGGGAGCGAGCAGACTAAAGATTGATTTCCAGATTATAAATCAAAATTCTAGCGCACTCGTAAGAGGTACACTATTCGACTCTGTTTTTTATGTAGATTTCAAATATCACGTTTAGAAGAGATGGACTCGATCTTTAAAACAAGGATGCAAAAGATTTTTATTTTTTTATGTGTTTTGGTCATAAAGGTTAACAAGAATGTTTAGAGAAACCGAAAAAGGCATCATCTTCAATGAGAAAACGAAACTTTTCTAAACAGAATAGAGAAAACTTTCAACAGCGATTTTATTATTTTAATAAAAGTACAACTTCAATGCAGAGATTATCATATCTTGTAAAACAATGAAAAAAGGTAGTCAGTGTGGTTAAATTGTTTCATTTTTACTGACTATAGACTTGTTTTGTTAGTATTTACAAGTTTATTTCTGTTTTTTACTTCTGTACTATTCATTCTTGTATAAGAATCATTAAACTAATTTTCAACTCTCTCTATGTATGTGTGTGTATGTGCGCGTGTTTGAAGAGACTTATTTTTCGTATCTAAAGTGTTTGTCCTCTATTTCCAAATATGCAACACCTACACATTTTAGAAGGAGAAAAAAATGCTCAATACAATTTATAAAAATCAAATATTATTTTTCTACTATTGTTCGTTTTTCATTTTTTATTTTATTTTTTCATTTTAAAAGCTTTTTACCTTGGTGATCATTGCACATATACACATGCACACACATACAATTGTTAACGCCTGCTGCTTATTTTCTTTTCTCTTTTAGCTGATGAATGAGCTTCGTGTCTATTTCTTTCTTTTTATCCATTTTCTATTTACCTCTATACTAAAATAGTGTTTAGTAGCGTAAGATTTATTCATACTAAAGAAATAAAATAATATTTTTCTGATTTTAACTTGCGAAAGAAGGAAAAATGATCATAGATGTATTCATATGATCTTAGTCATTCCTTAAACTAGTTTTCCTGTTGTCTATATGTGTGTCACGTTTCTTATAAAAAAGGTTTCAAAAAAATATATCCTTTTAGATTAGTAAAACGAACACACTAACAAAAAACCATTTTTACAACTTAATAAAAAACGATAGACGGTAATCGGAGACGAAAATAAGGTTACATTTTTATGATTATTTTCTATTTTGAATGAATCATAAATTTTATATATTTTTTTTCTTTTTCGAACGAATAACAAATTTTTAATAGTATGATATTTTACTGTAGAGACAAGAAAGTTTTATCCATACTTAAAATACTTTTTTGTTCTATTTTCATTTAAAAAAACATTTTTTGTTAGTCAAAAAATGGCTTATACAAATTCTTCTCATCGAGCTTCATATTCATCACAACACAATACGCCAACAACCAATTATGAATATGGACAACGAGATTTATCTCGACAAAGTGGAAAACGAGAAGTAAGTAATCAACAATTTTTGTTTTTCAATAAAATTTTAAAAATAGTCAGTAATGAGAATTAAATATGTATTAGTTATAAAACAATGACAACAAAAATTTTTTTTATTCATTATAGAACTTCTTGGTAAAATAATCTTAACTTTTTTGTTTTTAAATACATTTCATAGAACATGGAAAATATCTTATTTGATAGAAATATATGTATTATGAATGAATTTAGAAAAAAATCCACTTTTAAATAGTCCAGTTTTAGATATGTTGTATGTGTCAGATGTAGGTGAGAGTTTAAATTTGGTTTAGTGTCGTAAATAAGCTGTCTCCCTCGGATATACTGGCATTCTTTCCGAGCTGAAAACTCAATAATCATACACACACGGTGTTGATTTATTAAAAATTTCTTAATTCAGCTCTAAAAACTTTTATATTCAAAATTTTATCATTAGATTATGATTTTATTTTTTTGAAAGATTAGAAATTTTTATTGTCCAGAAAGTAAAAACAAAATATTCCAGCCTCAGAACTCAAAGTTTTCTTCGAAATTAAAGATTTATATTGTGCACATCAACAGATGACGAAAAGCGTCTTTTTTTTCAGAGAATCAGTATCATTCTTTAAATTTGGCAAAAGTTGTGAATATCATCAGAGTTACTGCAAGTGATAAAATCTATAGTTAGAAGCTACATGAAAATTGGCTTTAACTCTTTCGCGCCGGGGTGTTTTTCAGTAAGAAATGTATCCGTATTTAATGGAAAAATGGCTTTTCTTACAGTTTGTGAAAAGCTCGTCCGTCTGGGAGGGAAAATAGCTTTCTCAATCTCTGAAAAGTCCGTAACTCAATGACCTCCGCTCTTTACAATATAATTTTTATTAAAAATGTTTCAGCGTATGATAGGCTTCGAAACATGGCACTACACATAAGCCAACATTGCACTCTTTGCATTCGTAGCTGGTTTTTGTTTCCTGCTTTGGACCACGAGTTGTGTGACTGCAAACAAAGCAACGCCTTCGCCCGTCATTCGAGCTTTCCACCTTTGATGGAAAATGTCGTGCTGTTATGCGGACAGGAGTCTCAATTGATGGTCTGTCTCGACTGTCCAGTTTTTGAGCGACGAATTTAATACATGTATATACGTATATATATATATATATTCAGAAGCATGGAAGGAAAGAGAGCTTTCTAGAAAACATTAGAGATAAATCACGTATCATCATTGCAAAGAACAGAGCGTGAGAGAAAAATGACGTCGTTCGAACATACTAGCAGGAGAAAACGAGCTATGCAATAAACAAAACAAAAGAAAATGTGAATGGAATACGTGTGTGAGAGCAATATACTTTGAAACTAATGGAGGAGAGAACTGGAGATAAAACGTACAAGCCTTACAGATTTAACAAGCTACTGCTTTCCATTCTTTTCGACAGAGGAAACGAAGTATGAAATGCTTCGCATTTAGAAATACATATTTATTGTAAAATCATCATCACCATCGGTCTTTCTATCCTTATAATACACAGGACTCCTCAAACACTTGTGTAAAATTGTACTTGAAGTCATATTAATACGGGCATATAATGAAAAACCTAGCCGTCCCATATATGGGACACCCGGCGCGAAAGGGTTAAACATCGGGTCGTGTCAAGCAAATATTTCTTTTTAAAGTAAGATGCGACTCAACACTGTATGAAAGGTTGGAATTATTTTATTCAAACTCTGAAATGACTCAGTTGAATTTCTTGTCATAGATACTGAAACATTTTTCTCAGTTCATATTCGTAGATAAAAAGTAGTTCTATATAAATCCATTATTTTTCCACCTCAGTAACATGTTTTTTTGTATTAAAAAAACCGTAAAAAATCGAAATATTTTGTAAATTGTTAATGGATATATCTAGTTTTTATGCAGATCTCTATGTTACCATGATCATCACTATCATTTCTTTAGCAACAGTTAGACAGTTTATATAAACTATAACATACTGCACACATCATTCGCATACCAGCAATATCAGAAATAGTGCACAGCTGTGCATTTATTTTCAGCAAATTTTTCTTTTACCATGTTTGGGTAGACTATTCAATTCTCTTTCAAACAGTATATTTAAAAAGTTTTTCATATACATTTTAATCAAAAATTTGGTCAAATACGATAAAGCACTTAACAATTTTTTTTGTAATAGTATTTTTTGCCTTAAAAGCTAAACAAGTAATAAAAGAGAAATAGTTGTTCTTTATTTTTTGATAACGTTTAGAAAAAATTTTTAGAAAGGCGATACGGCTACTTAAATTTATTTATTTTCGGTATGGTTGGTTAACGATGAATAAAAAATATATCAAAAATGTTTACAAACTCTACTTTGAATATATGAGAAAAACACATTTTTAGTTGATGGCACTAGTTTAAAATATAACCAAAACAATCCAATTTTAATCTTATAAATACGAAAAGAAAATGTTGATTAGAATTAAATTATAGATGTTATTATTGTTACTTATAAATATATGTAGATTTATTGAATTTCTATTACTTCAAGCTAGATTTGAGGCTATTTTAGCTTTTAAGACGAAAAATACTATTAAAAAAAATTGTTAAGTGCTTTATCATATTTGAACAAATTTCTGATTCAAATGTATATGGAAAAACTTTTTAAATACACCTTTTGAAAGAGAATTGAATAGTCTATCCATTTACGGTAAAAGAAAAATTCGCTGAAATAACAGCATCGGGAAACTTAGTTTTCGTCTTCATTTTTCATTACGAACTCCGGTTAAGTAGTCTGTTTCTGGATATAACGAAAAAAGACAGGGAGTTCGTGTTGACAAAAATCAATGAAATATAACAAAAAATAGAGTGTTTAGAATAAAATTTGTCCAGGAATTCGTAAAAAACTCTGCTAATCGCTTTTTAAAGGTTGAACAGCGAAATTTTGACTGGAGATCGGAATGAGAATGTCCGGAAGTTCGTAATGAAAACTACAGGTTGTTCGGAATTATGTTCAGTTTGCTCACCTTTGAGAAAATGTTAAATGACACGCAATTCTTGCAACTTCAGATGGAGATTTTACGAACTCCCTGTCAATGTCAATCCATTCTTTCAGTCTTTTTCTGTAAAAAGGACGCTTAGACTTGCATTCCGAACATCTGACCTTGTTGATTACGATCTCCGAGTGCTACAGCAGATATAGCAAGGAGCATTCTATTCAGAACATTCGATTAAACCGTTCCGATTTCCCTGCTTTTCCATTACGATCTCCCGTACAAAAATGTTTACGAACTACCGTCATAAATCTTTTAAGGACAAAAATTCATTTCCGAACACTTGGATACATGTCCGGAGTTCGAAATGACTTAAGACGAAAACTAAGACACCCACAGCATCATATGTTTAAATAAAAATATACAACTACGAAATTAAACAGATTTTGATCTGTCTGTTGTTCTCGACCCAGAAAATGCATTTGGGTTATTCAATAGGTGTTAAAAGATCAATATTAGAGTATATAGTGTTTTTCTGAGTCTATCCTTGTCTATTTTCTCGTTCAAGTAGAAAAATCAGTAAGACGCAACCGTAAAAGCTTCTCACTTCGAAAAAAATTGTCTGATATCATTTGAGCAACTCCTTTAAAAAGAGAAAGTTTGGAAAATAGTTGGGCATTAGAAACTAATTCTATAAATTTATCATTTACTTTTTTATAATCTCAAAAGAGAAATGATGATTTAACCAATTACAGTCCAAAGTAAACAAAGTTTCCATTAATTTTTTACTCGAATGATACTATCTAAATGTGCCTTCTGTTGGCATATTATCAAGGTTTTTCTCCTGTAGGGAAAATACATAAGCAATCGGTCTTAAAAAGTGACTTTTTTGTCGAATTGATCGTCAAAAGTATGGCTATTTTACTGAAAAGGATTGCTTTAAGAAAAGAATTAATTAAATGAATTAAGTCAAATCAAAATAAAATTTTTATTCCATTGCTGCTAATATTTTTTTTTTGAATAAAATTTGACTACCAGCGAGAGATTCAGATTTTGTGGAACATGAATAGACATTGAAGTGGCACCGGCAAAATATGATGCTAGATTATCTGACGAATTTTTTTTCTATAGGTTGTTTAGAAGCTTTTAATATAATGAAAAAACATATATAACATGTAACATACGAAGTATATACTACTATATCTCTAAGATTACACTTCATATGTATTAGTTCAGCATTCACGCTCAAAGCAGTAGCGATATGCTTGTGTTAACAGTATTTCTTTTGAAAAGTTACAATTTTACAAATTCCCTTTAGTTATTTATAATTTCAAGTGTATCCTTTTTTCAAGTTCTATAAGATAGAGTAGTAAGTTTGTTGAAAATTTAAAGAGTGGCGTGAGATTAGTTATGGTTGAACTGTTCGAAGTATTAGTCCCTTTTTAAATTAACTGTCCATATATATTAACCTATTAATCAATATGCCATATTTTTCTTTCTCCTGTTTATTATATTAGACAATAAAAACACATAGACTATATATCTAAGAGTGACGATCATTTAAGTTTGTAGACAGATCTATATCGTATATAGTGATGTATTTATAGTTGACCCGAAAAATAAGAATAACATACATACAGCACACATACGTAAACATTGAAAAAGTTCTCTTGAATTTACTCAGCTCAGACGACGCGCGAAAAAAGAGAAAAAGAAGAGTGTAAATCAAAAACAGACTCAAATCTTAAAATAAAATGAATGAGAAAGAAAGAGACCAAAATATGTCGCTACTCAAGTAAATAGACTACGCAATGTGTTGTGTGATGTGCACGAAGTGAAAAAAAAAAAGAAGAAAAATGTAAAAGAAATGACATGGACCAATGTTCTTCAAACTATTTGTATGATGATGATCGGAATAAGTCTTTTTGTTGTATATGAAAATATATATCTGATACATTGTGTATTATACGTTTTTTTTTTTTTTTTTTACTACAGATATACATGTACACATATATAAACAATTCTTATCAAATAGAGTTAAGATCACTCGTCACAAAGATTTAGCTAGATGTGTTTGTTAACATCAAAATTCATGTAGAAAGAGAGAAAGAGAAAGTTACTAGTAGTATATAACGAGTCATCTTTCTCCTATCGGTTAGCGTTCTTGTTTCGTTTTTCTCATTGTGTATATATATATATATATATATATATAGATGTGTGTGTGTGTCTACGTATGTATATAGATATATATATTTTATGTTCCATAGGCGTTTTTTTGCGTGTTTGCTTTCTTTAGGTATTTCTACTATCTACTACACAAGCACACACACGTACTCAATTCTTTTTTTTCTACCACAACTTAACTCAGCTCGCAACAATTTAGAAAACAGAACAGATAAAGAGAATAACTATGCTTAGTCTATGAGTTGTATGTAAAATATAAAAGAACCCCCAAATAAAAAAAAAAGGAAGAAAACGCGTTAAGGACAATTGTTACGGCAGTTTTCATTGCTATTTCGAATAACGGTCAAGAAAAAAAAAAAGAAAATATGGCACAATGTTCTATTTCAACTGTCATCGTTTGAAATTAACTAACAATAGTAATAATATTGAAACAAAAACATGGACGAGGAAGTATGTAAAAATTTCAAAATTTTAACTCAAAAAAGTGAAGAATTGATATCTTATGAACAGTAAATTGATTGATGAGAATTCCTTGCCAAATTGATGTAGAATCTTTGTTTTTAGTCAAAAAAAAAAAGCAATTGTAAAAATATGCTGATATTGAATAAATTGCTACTACATAATAATAAGAACTTGAGATATTGATCTGTTTTGTGTTAATCGTTTCATTTCCTCATTGAACAAATCGATAAAAAACATTTTATCACCTATTTCATCGATTAGAGCTAGCTGTTGTATTTTATTTTTGTTTCTCTATAGTTTAAACTATGTTTTACTTTATAACTTCTCAGCTTTCTGAATTTTTCATATAATTTATGTTATGCAATATATAGGGTGTTTACAATGGTGAATATAATCGTTCACTAAATAATTCAACAACAAATCAGTATGCACAAGATAATTTTTCTTGTTGGCATTGTGATAAAAATTTAAGCGGATCAAGATATATACTCAAAGATGAACATCCATTTTGTATTAAATGTTATGAAGACAGATTTGCCAATGCATGCGAAGAATGCAAAAGAAAAATTGGAACCGATTCAAAGGTAATAATCAATTCAACTATAATCGATCTTCATTGAATTTTATTTCTCTATTATTTTTAGGATTTATCATACAAAGACCGTCATTGGCATGAAAAATGTTTTTTTTGTTCTATGTGTAAAACTCCATTAGTTGATAAACCATTTGGATGTAAAAATGATTTATTATATTGTGGAGAATGTTATAATCAACAATTTGCATCCAGATGTGATAAATGCCATCAAATATTTAAGCCGGGTATAAATCTTTTTTTTATCATTTCTTTTCTACAATTATAAACAGGAGTAAATCAATTTAGTATTTCTTAAACAAGCTTTTCTGTCATTACAATAAATTGAAGAGTATACGTATTAAATAGTTATATGGTAAACAAAAATTCTTCATTTTTTAGGTACAAAGAAACTTGAATATAAAGGTCAACAATTTCATGAACATTGTTTCACCTGCTTTTCATGTTCTCAACCAATTGGTACAAAAAGTTTCATTCCAAAAGATCAACGAAGCTATTGTGTACCGTGTTATGAAGAACATTTTGCAACTAAATGTACTCGTTGTCAAAAGGTAAATATTTTAGTTTATCTTAATATTTGAAAATAAAATAAAGACATTTGGCTATTTTTAGGTGATTGCTCAAGGCGGTGTAACATATAAGAATCAGCCATGGTATGAGAGAGAGAGAGAAATGAACATAGTATGAAAACAGATTTTCTTCTATTATCTTTGTTGGTATATTAAGGCATCGTGATTGTTTCATGTGTACAAATTGTAAACAATCATTAGCTGGTCAACGCTTTACATCGCGTGATGATCATCCATATTGTGCCGATTGTTTTGCAAGATTATTTGCGAAAAAATGTTACGCTTGTAGTAAACCAATTACAGGTATAAAACAATAATTTGATATCGCATTGTATAGAATCTCTTTAGTTAACTCTACTCGTTTCTCATTAAATCTAATTTAATCAATTCTTTTTTACAAATGTTTATTCATTTTAATTCGATCATTTATTATAAAACATTTATCTTAGTTATGCTAGTCTAAATCAATAGTCAATGTTGCATCTAGTGTTTTCATCTACTATACTAACATGCTGTTTTCTTTCACATATTTTAGGTGTTGGTGGAACGCGTTATATATCGTTTGAAGACCGTCATTGGCATAATGATTGTTTTGTTTGTCAACGTTGTCATAGTTCATTAGTTGGTCGTGGTTTTCTAACAGAAGGTTCGGATATATTATGTCCCGAATGTGGCAAACAAACAACTACATACGATCAACGTGGTGGTAGTGTTGATTTATCATATAAAAATTAAATAATGAACAAACCTTTAGTAATACATTAAAATTATTATTTTTTATTTACAAAGAAATTAAGAGCCTATTTATTCTATTCTAAGGCTTCATATATATATATATATATATATATATATTCTGTTTTTCTTTTTTAAATTGCCCGTGTTGTGAAATAGCCAAAAAATCGAAAACATTATCCTTTTAAAAATGTCTCGACAAATAATTTATTCCAAATGTGTTTGTATGTAATTTTCTCTTCTTTAATATAGTGAAGTCCCTGAAGTTTTGTTTTGTAGGAAAATTTGTTTATTAATGGAATTGTTGTGAATACAAAACATCGTTGGGATGCATAATAAGGACTAGTTTTTAATTTAATTTTTTGCATGGATTTATATCTATGTTAAGCTGTTTTCTCTTGTTTGTGTTGCTAAACATCTTATTACAGTTTTTGTTTTATTATTATTGCTGATAAAACATTTTTTTTGTTCGTTATTTCTCTCTTTCTTTTGTAATTCATTTTTCTTGATTTTCACTCAGCAGAATGATGACGACAGTAGCAGCGTATGCTTTCTCTGAGTTTTGTTAACATTTTATTTGACAAACTATTTAAGTAGTGCAAAACAAATGAGAAAGAGAAAAAAATTGAATGAGCTTCTCTATTTAGGTTTAATCTTATTTTTATTTTAAATCATCGCTCTCTGTGTTATTTGTTTTAACAACTATATGTGCTCGCATTTGAAATTTTTTACATTTTTTTCTTACAGATTCTATTGCTCCAATAGAGAGTATGACTGCGTGATTTCCTTCTTGATTTTATATTTTTTCTCTCCTTTTTGTTTTATTGGAAAAAACGCCATAATGAATTAGAAAAACTATGTACTCTTTGAATTGATACTGCTATCCCAGTAAAATGTTTGTGCAAACTCAGAAAATACATCTGCACAGATCTGTCACAGAATATCGACAAATTTATTTTTCAGAAATTGTTCAACCTCTGCAAGTAATCTGCGCACCATCTTCTGATATTCTGTAACAATCTGCAACAGATTTGGAAGAATTTTCTGTTATAAATCGTGTCTATATTCTGCAATAAATCTGCGGAACTCTATTGCAGATCTGATTCAAATTTTATGCAGATTTTTTCTTGCAGAAAGTTCTCCCGGTAGTTGTCTGTTATCATTTATCACCTATTAAAACTTCTCAACTTTTGTTTTCTTTTAAATTTTATTGAACATATGAAAGTATCGTGCATCTCACTACAGCATGCTTTACAAAGATATCCAATGCTAATCAAGTTGAAATGTTCCATTGAGAAAATCCAGCTTTACTTTAAAGTCATAATTTTTGCAGAAAAATCGAGAAAATTTGATTTTTGCTGATGTAATAGCTTTTGGGCAAGTATTAGATCTATCGCGCATTCCACTCAAGCATTTTCCGTATTTTACTATCAACTACGGATATTGTATTATTCGTATAATGCTCTTTCCACTTACAACGTACTGCATTGCGATATTACGATTTCTTAAAAAAGTTTGGATATTATCTGAATATTATAACACCTAGAACTCCCAGATTTTCAATAATTATTCGACGTGATATCAATAACTCTCCTTGATGTATCAGTAAAAGAATCCTCCCGTTTCTTATAAAGTTCAATTATAAAGAACAATTTTAAATTTCACCTTTCTTAACACTGTTGGACCAAATACATAAAAAACTTAATCCTCCATGATTTTAACTTTCTAGTTTCCTTTTTCAACCACAAATTTAATTCATACAGCCAGCACACGCTTATTTAGTTGTTTCTTTACTCTTTTCATGTAAAAGCATTGATCCACTTATTTAGTTGTACGTTATCTCAATAAAAGATATCATCGAGTAGAGAGGAATTAGAAATATCACCAAAATATCCTTAGTTGTATGTCACCTATTTTTCATCGCGTCAACAGATTCAATCATTCAACAGAAAACAAAACCAAGAAGTGAATGATAAGAGAAAGTCTAAGTCATATAAACTTATGTGCGAAGAACAACAACAATACAAAAAAATTAATAGGATAGAACTATAGATAAACTCAGACGCTTTTCCAAACCTTTTTCGCTGACTTTCGACTTGAAACTATTTTTTTCGTAATCCAGTTCAGTTGTGATGCAGGTCTTTTTTACGTTATATGTACACTGGATGAGATAAATCCCAGCTAATACAGTGGTTTTCTCATGCAGTGTTCCCCACCTTGACTCTAACTTTCGCTAATAAAAAGTACAGATAAAAATTTCTGAAATGAAGACGAAAAAAGACACATTTCGTTATACTCGATATTTCTTCTTAGAAACATGTCTTGAAAACCGAGCTCACTGGTTTTTTGATCGCTGATACAGGTGATCATCACTTTTAGAATCCAGACGGTTAGATTTTCTCGGTTTAGGTTTCCGTTTTAATGTAATATTTCAGTGAAATATTACATTAAAATGCAAACATTATAATATGATATAACATTAAATCATCTTTTCTTCGTTCACATGCCATTGAACCGTGTGATAGAACAGTATTATTCAGAATTTTAAAGTCTTTAATAATTATTCGATGTAACATTAATAATTCTCCTTGATATATCAATAAAAAAAAGTCTTCTCTCTCCCTGTCCTGGTCTGAACAATTTTTTTTTGTTCAAATTTTATTTATTTCACTTTCTTAACTAACTACCATGGACAAAATAGTGCTATGGTAGAATAGTGTTATAATTGTAGCGGATGTGATATTGTTGGTAAGAAACGGGAGGATCCTTTTACCGATACACTAAAGAGAGTTATTCGATGTCACATCGAATAATTATTGAAAATCTGAGAGTTCTAGATGTTATAATATTCAGATAATATCCAAACTTTTTTAAGATATCGTAATATCGCAATGCAGTACGTTGTAAGTGGAAAGAGCATTATAGGAATAATACAATACCAGTAGTTGATAGCAAAAATTGGGTCTCCTTTAAGCTGCATTGTTATCCTGATAATATCTAATAGCACTATTTTTAAAGCAATAAAAATTTAACATTTTCCAGTAGTAGAAAAAAATGGTGATACTTCTTTACTCACCGTCTATAGTTTAGCTCAAAGATTTAAAGACAAAAAAACTGTCATTAATACAAAACTAAGGTTAGAAAGCGAAAAAAATAATACTTTCAAGTTTTTACATCAATGAAGCATGAGATTTACAATGAGATTACAAAAAATATATAATCACAGATTATTTCCGAAAGAACGAGAGAGAGAGAGAGAGGAGTGAGTGAGAATGATAATTCTATTTGATTGACTTTTGCATAAAAACTGAAATAGATGAATGACAACGCTGTTTGTCTAACGAATGAACATGACCAGCATGAATAATAAAGCAAAACAAAAGAGATCACTGGTTACACCTCAGAATCTCTTAAATAATCTTCGTTTCGACGATGTTTCGATCGTCTAGGATGAACGTCTTTTCGTGAATGTGCATTCGACACAGGTTGCCGAGAAGAGCGTGACGGTTTTTCTTGTGTAGATTCTAATTGTTGTTGCTTTGATACCGCTTTAGTATTGAATGCTTCCGCTAGTGCTAAAGCAAATCGCTGTGCATATTCTCGATTTTGAAATAAAAGTGCATAACATTCTGTTATGGTTTCATTCTCCTTTTGACGTAATACAATACATGCTGATACTTTTGTATATTTCATATCATGCATAACATAGGAGATATTTTCTAATGGTATTAAACCATGTCGTTCATCAGTACTATTTCGATGATCATCTTTATTCGTCGTAGTCGCACTACTACTAAATACATGCCTCAATGGGCTAAATGCTCTTGAATGTCCCGTTCGTTGTGGACTATGGTTGCTTTTTTTACTTGAACGATCACGATGACGATGATTATTTGTTTTATGTAATCGTTGAGTTAGTAGGAGACCTTTGGTACTTATACGCGCTTCTAATGTTGGAAGGTCAGCCATTGTTGGCAATTGATGAGCACTATGTATCATGGCATCAATTGGTCCTCGTACTGCTTTAGCACCCCAAATCGATGTACAGGGTGTTCGTCCTAAATATTTGACTAAAAAATGTTGTGGTAATAAGTTTTTTCTCTCATCACTAGCATCGTTTAGATAATCGTCAGTTGAACCGGATTGTTGAATTTTTATCTGTCCACTAGTAATTGCTGATAAATGATCGAGTCGTGCTGATTCAGGTGTAAATGGAACAGGTTCATGATAATGTGTATGTGAATGTGTGTGTGATGATGGATTATTTAATCTTAAATTAATTAAATCTGGACTTAATTCATCGTCGGGTGTTTTGGATTGAACATCGGTCCGTCGTTGTCTACCACGTAGTTGAGGATATAGACGTCGTTGAAAAGCAAGTGAATTTGCACCACCACCACTTTCGGTTGATGGCGTTGACGAACGACTATTATCTTTTGAATAATAACGATTTTGAGAGTTATTATGCGTTTCCGATATAGTTTCAACCGATTGTAAATAAAAATGCAAAGGATTATCTCGAGGAGGAGAAAGAACATGTTGTTGTTGATGATGAGCATTTTGAGATATATGATATTTAGCTTGACCAAAATAGTCGACTGTTTCGTCTTCTTGAAATGCATCGTCATAGTTAACATACACCTAAAATTTAGATAAAAACAAAATTCATTATCAAACTCGAATGTATGAGAAACAAAAATTTTATATGTTGAAGTTGATCAAATGATAATTTTTAACTAATTCACTTACCGCTTGTACTCGATCTGATTCTGTTTGTTTTTTATCTGTGTGTATTGCATTTGGAGGCACAATTGTTGTATATTGTACTTGATTATTATTTTGATGATACGGCGTTGATTGTTTTGCCATTTATATAGGAAGAATAAATTAATTAATTTTTAACGTATTCTTTTATGTAATTCTTGTGTTAAGATTAAAAAATCCATGCTAAAAACGTTATAGAAATAAATAAAATATGATAAATTTGAAGTGCTTTATTTATTTGACATTGAGTATTCATTTACATCTTATTGTTGTCTCGCCATATTTCAGACATAACGCCTTTACGTATTTGCTTAAAAAGATAAATGTTCGTAGTATGGGTGAAAACCCTAACACTTTTTTAATGTTTTTGAACTAACTGTAATTTCGAAAAGCGCAAAAAAAACCGTAGACATCTACAGAAAACGGTTCAAATACATATTTTTGTTGTACAAATGCCAAGTCAGTGGCGGATTTATTGGGGAAGCGGTAAGAGTGATCGCCCTTCCTTTCTGAATTTTTCCAGAATAAACGCTTCCCCTTAGGATGAAGGATCCGTACTATCTCGGAGAATTTTAAAAAAAAAATCGCTTTTCCCTTAAAAAATCCTGAATGCGCCACTGTGTAAAGTAAATGTTTTATTATATCAAATCTATAGTTTTATGAATAAGAATATAAAGTCTAAAATATTTCGAAAATATTACACTGTGTGGTTTTGTTTGCTTTATCCAGTATAAGTGAATACTTTAAAAAATTGTTTAATTCTACATATGTTTTAATTTTCTGTCGTTATGCTTACCATTCAATTGTATGATAGATTTGTCACGATTTTAATTGTTCAATGGCAATGTACTTTCTATTGACTTCTTTCTTTTGAATTAGATAAGAAAAAAGTCTCATAGGTGTTTTACTCCCATGTTGCGAGTATAAAAACAGTAAACAATAAGGTTAAACTTAAAATTTTTCTTCATCTTTCGGCAGTAGACATTTATTCTGCGTTATTAGAAGCCTAAAATTTTCAGCTTTTAAGCCTTTTGTTCTTAAAACAATTTTTCTATTATTTTTAAAAAAATAATCTAATGAGTTTAAATATAATAAAAGTAATGATGCAATAATAGAATGAATGAAGAGGAAAGAAAAAGTGAAGATTATCTTTCAGTATGCTCAATCGTCAGCCAAGAAGTCATAATACAAATTACAACGCAAACATCATGTATGCATAAATTGTCACTCTCTTCAGTTTTACGCATGTTTTAAGAACATATTCGTCAAAAGTACATATGTGTCACTTTTGCATTTCTCTCTCTATTGTACATTCGATAAGTTATACAAAAGAAAAAGACGTTGGCGATTGACAAAGTAAAACTTACTTTGAAAAAAAAATAAACGTTTTCAAATGAAACGAATTTTCTCTCTCTCTTTGTTTATTTTTATCATTTCTTCACCAATATTAATTTTTTTATTTTTCAAGATTTTTTACGAAATGTATATGTATAAGAAATATGCATAAAAAACTTTCTTCTTCCATTTTTCTACTCGTTCCTTGCACAAATATTGCGTCAAGAAGAATTATTATTCAGGTGTCTCAAGACGATTAATGTGTACAAAAAAGAAAAAAAAAAGATTAAAATCTAATGGATATCTGTACACAACAAACAAAAATGAGGAGGTTGGTTGCATCGGTTGAATTTCTTCCTCCGAAGAGAATAAAATTCAATAAGTTTTTTTCAAACTTGAATTTACAGGTTTTTCTTTTTGTATTATATTAACAGATTTCTCACTAAATAACATAAAGAAAGAAAGAACGAAAGAATAATCAACAGCGTACCCAATGTGATATTTGGTTCTATATTCTAAATTTCAAGGTCACAACATGCAGTAGGATTTATTTTATATTTCGTTGGGGAAACAAAGTGTCAAAAATAGCAATAAAAACGATAATCATCGAAAAACAGATGT